GCCAAACTTCACTCTCTTCTGCTTTCCCAAAACACAATGCTCGCAAAGGTTCAATTTGCAAGCCTTTTCACCTTTCAACAATCCTTTCTTTGCCAGGATTTGCAAGGATTTCTCTCCAGCATGTCCCAACCGCATATGCCATAACTGGGTTGCGTCCAAATCATCACCTCCGGAAGCTGCTGCAACTACGCCAATAATTGTACTACCTTGGTAGTAATACAAATTATTTTTCCTGATGCCCTTCATCATCACAAGTGCGCCATATGACTTTTAAAACTCCATCTCTCATAGTGACTACTGAGCCTTTGGATTCTAAGGCTCCCAACGAGATGAGATATTTCTTCAAACTGGGCATGTATCGGACATCCATCAAAACTCTGGTTGATCCATCTTGATTATTCAATCGAATTGAACCTATCCCAACAGTTTTACAGGCATTATCATTGCCCATATAAACAACTCCTGCATTTAGTTCCACTAAATCGGAGAACCGCTCCCGATTAGGGGACATATGATAGGTGCAACCCGAATCTAATATCCACTCATCGGAATGGAATGTTGTTGATAAAGCAACCAATGATATGTCAGAGTCATGTGCATCATGCTCTGCAACACATGCATCTGGAGCAGCTTTTCCTTTCTTCTTCAGCTTCGGACAATCTTTCTTCCAATGGCCTTTCTCATGACAAAAGGCACATTCATCTTTCCCAATCTGGACTTCGAATTTGATCTCCCTCTCCACTTTGGCTTTTGACTTTTCGAGCGACCTCTTGCCACCATGGCCTCTGTGCTTCGTACTTGCTCTCCTTCTTGGTTTTTCTTCTTGAGTTCATAACTATACAAAGCAACAGTTACATCTTTAAGGGTAACATTATCCTTACCATGAAGTAACGTTGTCTCAAGGTGCTCAAATTCATCTGGAAGAGATGACAACAATATCAAAGCCAAATCTTCATCTTTGAAGGTTTCATCCATGCCCAATAAGTCTTCCACTAGCTCATTGAACGCAGTGATGTGTTCATTCATACTGGTGCCTGGTTGATAATAAAATCTGAACAATCTTTTCTTCATGTGGAGACATTCTGAGAGCTTTTCTTCAGGAATTTTTCCTCCAAAGCTTTCCACATCTTACTTGCAGAAGTCTCGTTCTTGTAGCCATACTTCTGCTCCCTGGAAAGACAAGATCGAATCGTGCTGCACGCCAAACGATTGATTGTTCCCCATTCTTTCTCCTCCATATATTCGGGCTTTTCTTCCTCAATGGCGATGTCTAGACCTTGTTGGAATAAAGCGTCTAACACCTCGCCTTGCCACATGCCAAAATGACCGGATCCATCGAACAACTCCACCGAGAAATTTGCATTTGACATCACCCTTCTCACCAGTCCAGATGAAGAGCTTGATGTCTCAAGTGATCCGTATTTTGGCATTTTAATTCTAACGAACATATTCAATATCACGAACTGTATCTTTTCAGCAACGGAACCACCAGGATAACCTCAACCGAAGCTCTGATACCAATTGTTGGGGAAAACGGGTTATTTCCCACACGAACATAGTTTTAAAATTGACCTAAAATGTCAAGATTAAACCACCAAGGTTGCACAGCGGATAAACCTGTCAAACTATTGAATATTGAAACACAATAGAAAAGAACTAAATAAAAAACAATAAAGGAGAGAACACACCAAATTTACGAGGTTCGACGAGAATATCGTCTACTCCTCGGGCACCACACCGGATGATAACTTCACTATATCGCCAATATTACAACAAATGGAATTCTTTGGAATTCCCAAAGTGGGAGAATGAAGAATACAAGAGGAAGAGAGAACTTGTTTTTGGGACGATTTCTAATGGAAATACTTAGGCCTATTTATAGTTGAGTTTCAAGAACAATATGTTCAAAGTTTGGCCACCTATCAAAGAATTTTCCAATGTGTACAAGTTAGCCACCAAATATGAAATTCACATGTTCAAAGTTTGGCCACCAACCAAGATGAAATTTCCAATATGTTGGCCACCAACCAAGATGAAATTTCTAACTTGTCAACTTAATTTCTAGACAAATCTAACAACGCATGCATAGCAATCCATTACACGAACACACCACTTGAAAGTTCAGCAAGGGTGGCATGGAAAGCTTCTTTGTGATCATCATCACGTTCCCGTCGTCCGGATGGCTGGAGATATCCCCGAAATAAAGATTATTCTGGATGGGGTGATCGATGATTTCAGAAATGAAGGTTGGATCATTGTCGGCCATGCGTTTGAAATGCTCGTAGACAAACACTATCTTGTATTAAGATACGCCAGGCTCGACACACGGACTTGGATTGCACAAAGGTTGGGACTGGAAGCTTTGATGGTTTCTCAAGAACAAGCTCTTCAGGAAGACGATCCATTTGGCTAGTTTTTTTTGTTTTTCTGTTCTCTACTTTCTTCTTCTTCATGTGGAGAGATTTAATAGAAGAATAGAAGATACGGTTGTATTATTCGAGATGGATTGGCGATGGAAACGAAATTGAAATTTAGTAGAATTTTACATATTGACAATGACCAATTCGTCGTAATAACAAACAACAAAAACTAGAGGTTAAGTACATAGTTTTACACGGCAGGAATTCAATATAAAAAAAAACAAAAAAAAACACATCGGTTGTATAGAACCTTTTAACTACGTTCATCTAGTATAAAATTATGTGTACATCTGTGATTATTAAGTATTAATGAATGTATCAATCGAATTGAGAGATGTAGCATGAATGACTGCTCTGAACTCTCAAATATGAATTCAACCCTTCCATGCCCTTAAGTAATTATTTATTGTACTTAAGTAATACCATTGAGACCCCTTCGATGATGTTGTCGACCATCGACCCATTGCTGACTTTAATATTGTTTCTGGATCGTTTGTTTAGTGTCTCGTGTTGGGCATGGAGCTTTATCATCGTTGTGATTGTCTTCATTTGAGATATTTTATCGTTATTATTTTGGCGTTTGATTTTTTTATTTTCCCTTATGTATGGCCTTATTATCCACTGCCATGTGGAATTTTTAATATTAATTAATAAAATGATTGTCGTGCTAAAAAAGAGTATTATCAACTATGGAGCTAATCCATGGATCTAGGACTTAATCACAGAATTATCAATAATAATAAATTATTTGGTTTTACTTAAAAATCAAGCAATAATGAGACGTAATTAACGCAAATAAGCAATAATACTATCATCTTGTCTCACTTAGTAGTCATGTGATAAATATGGCGGTACCTAGTATCAATGAGTAATTAGATTTTCGTGTTAGAAGGGAAAGCTTAATCTAACTAATGCATCAATAACAATTTCCACCAATATAATGTAAGAAATGGTCATCCGGTCTCACTAATACATCATACACAGACAATAGAGATGGAACTCGATCTCACTAATGCATCGATAATAATTCTCGTCATTATATTATAAGAAATAATTGTCTGATCTTACTAAGCAATCATAATATACAAATAATCTATTGACATATCCAACTACATACATATGGTGAGTGTTCAGAATCAGTAGTATTTACTCGTTAATTCTTCGATCTTATGGATTTATTGCTGCTGATTTGGTTGTTATGCTTGTTTTCGTGCAGGATCTTACTTTCAGACTTAGTAGTAAAACGGGCGCATTCTGCATTTTTTTATTATTTGGTCATGGCTGGAGACATGGGCACAACTGGACATGACACGGTCTGACATGGCAGCTTCTAGAAGGTCCAGTCAACGGCAGTTTCTAGAAGATCTAGTCAGTGCGCCTTCTGAAAGATGGACGAGCAAAATTGTATTATGAGACTTGTTTAAAGTATGAATTTAGGAAAAGCAATTATCTTTAGGATTATTTATTTTAATTTCTTTGTTTATCTCTAGATTTTTAGAGGCTATAAATACCCTCAGGTAAACCTAAATTCACGAACTCAAAGTACAATCTTATTCTTCTTTTTAGTTCTATAAAAAATTCTCTCCTTTATTTTATTTTTCAATTTTTCGGTTTTCCTTTATTTTTAACTTTGTTTTTAAATATGCTAGGTATGCTTTTGTCATGCTTAGCTAATTTTTTCATAAGCCGAGAGCTGAAGCGATGACTCAATTCCAACAGGAGAATTGAAACAGACCCTTAATAACTTCGGAATATCTCTCTCAATTTATGCGCTTATTTTTCAAAATCAAACAGTTTTCAAAATCAAAGATTGACTTTGGTCAAGAGGTTGTTGCGATTAAATGTGGAGGACATATTAGCTTATTGAAAGCACATTCGACTTACTGGAACATACTTGGCGAGATAGCTTCGCCAAGAGGGAATGAGATCATAATTGACGGTTATTGAAGCAACAATCCGAATTGGTCGCTACAAACTTAAACAGTAATTGATCTACGACAATTGATGTTGATTAGATCAGTTTCCGAAGCCGGAACCAAAGATTACCTTGGGTATTTGGTATTCAAGTATAGTCACGGGGATTGTCCTTGTAGACAAAGTAACCGATGTGAATTCCGAAGGAAAATCTATTCGACGATCTAAAGTAAATTGAGTCAAAGCGAGGCTTGAGATTATTTTTACCATATCCATTTTCACTTTAAAATCTTTTCTTTACTTTTACTACAAATCTCTTTATTAATATTTAAAATCTTTTATCAAACCCTCATTTACTACTTTCACGCCCGTATTTTTTTTACAAGGAAGGGTGTATATCCATTGAAACATCATAAACTTATTAAATACATTTTATTCGTGTACGAGAAATATTAATATTTTATTAAAAAATGCTCTTATCATTTTATTCTTAAAGATTATTAATTAATTATACCACTTAAGGATATTTTTATCATTTCATTAAAAATCTCTTACCAAACTTGTTCTTTCATTTGTTTGGAATCGGTTCATTTGTGACTCTTGAATTGACATTGAAAGAACAAATCTTGACCTCGGAATTCAGGTAGCAATCAATTGAACAGTTGATTAAGGTTAAACAAACGGGCTGTGATTTATTATTTCCAGCATCAAAGACAGCATGCAAACTGTGTCTTCTAATAAAAAAAAAACATACAAAAGCAAAAACAGTAATTAGAAAACAACATGCTTGGGTCCCATGATCCAAGCCTTGTCCACCGTAATACACATCTTATTCAACTAGAAACTAATTGACTTCCACATGCAAACTTAGCTAATCGATCCCCATCTTACAACCTTATTTCGGTCGTCTCAGCTTCAGCTTCTGCTGGTTTTTCTTCATCCTGGGCAACTTCCTCTTTGTGTTCTTCCACAGGTGCAGCTTGGGCTTCGACTTCGATTTCTGCTTCGGCAGACTCTGTAGTTTCTTCAACGGTTGGCTCGGTTGTCTCCTTGGTCTCCTCGGCAACTGGCTCCGCTACTGTTTCCTTAGGAGCCTTTTCTTCTTCTTTTTTCTCAACTTCTGGCTCCTCGGTCACGATCTGGGGTTCCTCTTCGACAACCTCCTTGGATTCAACTTCAACCGGGGCTTCATTCTCAGGTTCTTCAGATGCTGCTTCCTTTGGTTCTTCAGCAACAGGTTCTGCTGCAGGAGCTACTTCAACTACCTCACTTTTTGTAGTTTTTTCAACCTTGATGGGTTCTTCAGTTTTTTTCTCCTCATGGAGTGCAGTTTGGACTGATACAACCTACACAATCAAATATGACAAATGGTATAATAAACAGGAAATCAACAAAAGGAATTGAATATAAACCAGACTAAGCTCAAACCCACTACCTCTGCAGTAGCCATGGAAGTCCGAAGGAAATTTAATCAGAAACCGACCACAAAAATATTTGGAAGAAAGAGGAAGATGATTGAAGGCAAATAGAGAAGGGAATGCTTTATGTTGATGCATAGATGATCAAAAGAGAGGGGCTTATATAGAGGGGGGAAATTGATGAGAGAGAAGGGTAGTGGGTGCCATTGAAGAATCTCCGGATTAGACAACTCACTCACTGATTATAAGGTGAAAATTATCATGTTTAGCCATCATGTTTAAGCTTTTAAAGTCTCTCCTATTCACGGGGATAAACCAATATTTAATTTGGTTAAGTTTTGATCGGAAAGGCGAAATAATGGAGGCCATTTTTCAGCTCAGCCATGATGTTGGAATTGTGAAAGTGTGCTTTGTGCAGTCGGCCTTTGAGGTGACCTCATGTCATCCTCCCATGTTCTTAGTGCTTCACTATTCATTTACCCTACGTTAACTCTGCCAACGGCAATTAAAAAAATTATTATTTTTTAATACAAAAGTAAGGCCGAAACCAATTTACGCATTTAAACACACAAGGAGGACTACTAGAATCACGTAGTAATTAAAAAATTATTTTAATTAGTGAAAATTAATTCTAAGGAACCCAATGCTACATGTAACAATAAAATGTTTAGGGATATATGCATATGAAGTAAGCCATGTAAAGATGACTCAGTCTTGATTAGGTCTAAACAAGAAGTTTGTATTAGTAAAATCTTTTTAGAGTTATTAAAAAAAATTATTATCGAGTTGAGCAACATCAATTTAAAATTAAGTAAAAATTTAAATATTTTAATCTTAATTATAATAACCCACAAAATTTATTAGAACCTAGATTTGAGTTTGAATAACTAAATGAATTTTTTGTTTATAATAGTTTGATTTTATTAAGTGGAACTTTAGAAATTAAATATGTTTTTAAGGATAATTGAACTTAAACATAAACCATGTAAATTTTTTACTAATATTTTTTAGGGTAAACTATGCAAATATTCTCTTTTGTTTAGGGTCTGATCGACTTTGGTCATCAATTTAAAAATTAAGGTAAATGGTCAATCATATATAGGTATGTTAGATTTAAGTCCCTTTGTTATTCATTTCCGTTAACCCCCTTTTTTTAAGTCCCTAACATGATTGAGAGACTAAAATTGAATGGGAGTTAACGGTTGAGGGATTAAAATCGAATGGATTGATAATATTAGGGAATAAAATCAAATTGATCGATAATATTAGGGATCATTTTCCCTTAATTTTTAAATTGATGACCAAAGTCGCTTAAACCGAAAATATAGGAGACTGCTCACATAGTTTACCCTATTTTATATCCCTACTCATGAATTGAAGGACACCTTTTTTTTCATATTTAACACAAAAGCAAGTTAAACTCTATTAAAAGTTATGATATAAACTTAAAGGTTTAGTTTAATCACTCATTATAAAAGGAATACTTTTAGTTTTATTATACTTAAAAGTTATTTTTAATCCATCTAGTATTAGAAGATGATATTTTAATTTCTGTATGTTTAAAAGGGTAAATATTTTGATTAAAAATTAAAGTTATAACACCCTTTAAATCTATATCAATTTTAAAACTAAGCAAATTGACATCTCTTAAAAAATAGAGTAAAATTTTCAATATATTTTAAAAATGAGTAATAAAAAGAATTTATGATACTATTAAGATTATTTTCGTCGATAAAAGACACGTGTCCAATTGTGGTTGGATTCTTTAATAAATAAAAATTCAAAATTTTTAATAATTTTCACAATTTTTATTTTTTTAAAATAGTGAAAATTTGAATAATTTATAAGATTTTGTATCATATTTTTCAATTAATCCTTAATCTCACTCTAATAAATTCAATGTATATTTTTCACTTAAACATTTTTTATATGAATTATCATATTATAAGTAAAACAATAATGCTTAGAGTTAGAATATGAATTAATTTTTTCATTTAGATTTTTTTGTACAAAAAAGTTTAAGTCAATGGTAACTCTCCAGTCTAGGGTCTGTGCATTTCTAAGACCCAATTGGGATTTACATAGGAATTTACATATTGTCCACCAAGAGTGACTGTGGTAGGATTCGAACTTGACCTTACAAGTTCAAATTCTTAAATCTCAACCACTTGTGTCAAAAATAGTTGCCTTTCATTTAGATTTTATAAATGTTAAAAATGTTATGCAAAATTTTATAAAATATTGATTCGCTCGAATTTAAAATTAAAAAAGATTAAATGTATTTAACCAAAATTTAAAATCAACTGATAATAATTTAATATTCTGAATTAAAATATTAAATTTTTAAATATCTAACAAAACTTATTAAAAGATAATATATTTTTATAATAAAAAACTTAAAATAATTTTTTTATGAATAATACATTATCTTTTAATAGACTTGATCGCACAAAAGCAGGTGGACAATTTAATACTAGCCAAAACTTTAGAGTGATTGATGTGATGACATGGAAAGTTGGACCGACCATTGTCACCCAGAGCCCCACCCCATACATTCAAAAAGATGAAAGCAATGGTTGTGATTTTGATATTAATTTACTTGAAAGAAACGAAAGAAATTCTGATGTGGCGGATTACATGGACCATGACTTTGTGTCGCTGTTTTGGGTTCAATTGTCCTAAAGTGGAAATGGACCCCTCATTTAGAACCATTGGTACTGATGCTGAGTCACGCTTGAGTATCCGCCGAGTACCTTATTTTCTCTATGCCAGCTTGGCTGCCTGAGTTGGAATTATTGTGTACGAATTCAGCAATATTTCTATTGTACAAAATTTTTTTCAACGTCATTCATTTTGTAGACCATTTCAAAAGTTGTACTAAAGTCTTTTAAAAATAAAACTTATATTTTTTATTACGTAACAGTGTTGGAAACAGCGAGGGATTGGCAGCAGTATAATGATTTGAGTGAGGAATATGGAGTGCATGTTGTGGATCCCAAAAGCAACATGCTTGCTAACTCAAAACTTCGTACGCTACCAGTCATATTGCCTCGATATAACACTTTGCCACCATTTTCTCTTCAAAATTGGGTTAATTTTCTCCTTTGGCTTCTCTGTAAAGTAGGCTAATATCCGCTTGGACGGTGAAGGGCCCCCCCGAGCCCACGTGGGACGTTGCTGCTGATGCTGCTCATAATGAAAAGGAACTCAAAAACAACTCTCTCTCAAGACACCGACCACGTGCCGTGATGTTCTTCTCGTACCCTTTCTCTCATGTCATTATAATTTTAAAAAGACCGGGTGATTCAAATGTAATATAGAGAATTTTTTTTAATCAATTGATAATACATGTTTTATAGATAGGGATAGATGCATGATTTTATGTTAGGAGAGGCAAACTTATAAAATTTTAAGTATGGAAGAACTTATAAAACTTTAGGAGGAGTGAAAATATATTTTCAATAGAAAATATAAAAAATATCTGAAATATATAGGAATTTAAAACTTTTAGGGGGCGATTGTCCATACCCGTCCCCTCTAGGTTCATCCCTGCTTATAGACATGATGAACCAAGGGGGCGGGTGGGTGATAATAGGTTCGTCATTTCTTAAACTTTTAAAAGTTCGTCTCTCATAATATAAAATCTTACATTTGTCCCTATTTGTAGATGTAGCTGTTTGGACTCATGACCTCTGAAAAAAACAACGGTCTTTTAACACCGAGTCCACTTAATAGATTTCTCATGTAATTATACTTTGATTTGTGAAACATGATGGCACGTGAAGTATAAGTGTGAAGCCAATTTTTATTCTTATACTAATTTATTAATATGTTGTGTAATTAAGTAATAAAATTTAAAAAAAAAATCTCTATTTTTCTCATCATCCAAATTTGATTAAGGGAAAAGAAAAGGCCAATTTTGGCTATCATCCTCACCAAGCTTAGGTTTGCCATGGTTAAACACTTCAAAAGAAAATTGGAGGGAGAAACTCAAAGGCGATGTGAGAATAAGATTAACATATTTAGAAACAAAACAAAACAACATAATTTTAAGCCTTAAATTAACATATTTTGATGTTTATAGAATAAATTCTTTTGTTTATGATGTGTAATGTATTATTTCTGTGATTTTGAAATAGTATTGAAGATGAGTTCATTCATGTCTAAAGGGTGAATGAAGAAATCAATAAAATAATAAAATAATAAATTTGTGGAGTATCAAAAATTCAAATTAGGTAAGGGCCAATATCACTTTTTATTTTATTTTTGCAGTTTGTATTTTTTTTTTATTTTGTACTTCCTATTTTCAAGATTTCGCCTAGATTAATCTGGATCGACCTGGGTCGCACACCTGATTGTGGTAGGTGAGTCTCTCAACGGAGAATTTCTGCATACACAAGGACTTGAACTCGAGACTTACTTAAACGATATCAAACTACTTACCACTTAAATCAACTCCAATTAATAGTTAGGGTATTTTTCATATTTCTTTATGGTAGATTCTATATATGTGTGTGTGACTGCTCAAAAAATATGTGTGATAACCATCAATGTAAGGGCAGAGATGTCCATAAGTTTTTTTTTTCATTTTTAAAATATTGTATTTTTTAATTTAATACAAATCGCTATTTTTATCAAAAATATGAAAAAATTAGTATTTTTTTTATAAAAGCATCTAGTTTTATTAAAAATAAAAAATATACAAATTAAAATAAAAGTTTATAACCACAACATTAAACTAATCATAATAAGGATATTTTTCTAAACACAAGAAAACTAGTCACTTAAGATCACACAAGGACCTTACAAGGAAAATGTTAAAAATCCAACTAAATAAATTCAAACAAAATGTAGATACGAATAGATTTGACCCCATCATCAAACGAACTACAAAAGGGGATGAAACTATTGAAAGACCACCGACAAACCGTAAATCAAAATTGAGCTACGAAAAAATATTATCCACAAACGCAAATTGCATATCCAAATCCAATCGGAGAGTCCAAAGTGGGAAGATTAATATGATAAAAAAAGTGTCATCTTGATTAGTCGTGGCGATGTCAAATCCAACCATGAAAAAATGAATAAATTAAAACAAAAGCCAAACGAACGAAAACGTGTCATAAATACATAGAAAAATGTGTCATAAAGGTAAAAGAAAACATGTAATGACGAATTAATTATTAAAAAATATATATATAATAATAAAACAAAGAAAAAACAATAAATATTGACGGTCGACGACCAGCACAAAAATTAGTGTTACCATCAATTGCAAAGATAACGAAGAAAATAAACTAACGGCAACTAAGTGAAAAAAAGGCAAAGCCATTAAAAAGATTATTTAAAAAAATCTAGTAATTTATGCTAAGTTTGAAATAATTTAAAGTATTTTAACGTGCCGAGGGTTAGATGTCGATTTTCTTCTAATTTTATACTAACCCTTTTTTATTTTTAGCTTAATATAAAAAATAAATGCATAAAATATGTCTCGAAAAATGTTTTAGTGTCTAAAGAGTTTTTCGTTAAAAATAGATGCTTAACGTTTTCTTTTTTACCATTTTAAGTGTCAGAGCGTTAACCATCTTTAAAAATCTTCGTTAAGTAACACATGTTATATTCTAGTAATTTTGTGAATCTTTATTTAAAATAAAATATATATATATTTAAAAAAATCTAAAAAATCAAAACGTTTAAAATCTTAATTTTAATCTCTTTGCCACCGTCGGCTACCACCAAAGCCATCAACCGTTCGAACACCCAACGAAGTATGATCGGCCAACCACCCACGACGAAAACCTCTATACTTTCGCAACCGATCAAACACCAAATCCCCCTAAATCTATAAATTCCTAAACATAAATCCTTCAAAACCCTAAAACAAAATCTTTCATTTACACCTTTTTCAGTGTTCCATCGGTTACGAAAGTATAGAGGTTTTTGTCGTGGGTGGTTAGCCGATCACATGTCATTTTGGGTGTTTGGTCCATTAACGGCGTTGGTGGCGGCCGACGGTGGCAACTAGATTAAAATTAAATTTTTAAAAGTTTTAGGTTTTTTTAAGATTTGATAAAATTTAAGGTTTTTTTAAATATATATTTTTTAAATAAAAAATCTTAAAATTACCATAACATGACACGTGTCACTTAACATAGATTTTTAACTGCGGTTAACGTTTGGGCACCTATTTTTAACGACAAATTCTTTACGCACTTGAGGCATAATTTAATCATTTATTTTTATATTAAGCCTTGATTTTTTTATTGAAATAATGATAAAAAGCTAGTAATTTTTGGTAAGTTCGAATTAATTTAATGAATTACGTCAAAATAACAATAATAGGTAAAGACTCAAGGACGAATGCAAATATGGTGTGAAAATGGACCACGTTCCTCCAAAAATTTTGGTTTACTAATATTTTAAGTTTTTATAAATTTAAATAAAATAAAATTAGACTTTTGCTCCTTTTAATTTTTTAATTAAATATGTAATAAATTTTTATCATTTTTATCATTTTGGTTTACTAATCTTAAATAATTTCGATGTTTGATGAAACTTGTCAGTTTTTACCGGTGTGTTTAACATCGAGTTCAACAACTCTTAAGTTGTCGACAACAACAAACAAGTATATTGAAATCATCTACAGCCACCGGCGGAGCCAGCATATAATAAGGGGTGTCATTAATCTTTTGATTTTTTATATAAATTTAATATAAAATATTTATAAATTTTTTTTACATAATTCTTTATACAATTTCTAAATTTGACACTTCAAAATATATTTTTTTTAAATTTAAGACCCAAAAATAATTCTTCTAGCTCCACCCTATCTGCAACAGAGAACATCTTTGAAATTCATCTACACCACATGACGACTTCATATGGATTATGAAGGTGAGGTTGATGAGGATATATTGATCGTTGTCAGTCAAGTTGATTGTTATGAACTTCAAGAAAAAGATAGAATTATCGAGGGAATTAAGAAAAGAATAAGATAGATTTCAGGGAAGAAAACTTTCATTCAATAATCTCATAATTTCTCCTTTGTAGTGCACTTTTCATCAGCATCAATTGAATTTTTTCCCAATTTGATGACTCCAATCCCTAACCCCCGATTCTCTAAAATCCCTAATTCTTTTACTTTGAGTCTTCCCTCTTCTCTCTCAACCATGACAATATCCCCCGCTTGAAATGATCCTTGACCCCAAGGATCAAAACCTGGGAACTGAGCACGAAAAACCGTAGTCTTCCCAAGTGTCGTCGTGGATAACATCCAAATTCATCCATCGAACAAGCAGTTAGGTCACCGGTTTGTTACCTTGATTCATTATTCTATTACCCATGATCATTAGAGGATAAACCATCAATTGACCATCATCGTCGACTGTAGGTGGATCTGTAGATAGGATAATCGTTTCACCAACCTTCTTCTTCAGCAACTTACATGGAAAACTGGTGAAGACGCGAGTTCTCGGGTAAGTATAATTCGTAAGCAACATTTTCAATACGCTCAAGAACTTTATATGGCCCATAAAATTTTGTTGCTAACTTCAAATTACGAATTACGAGGGATGATTGACAATAGGGTTGTAGCTTGAAGTAAACTTCATCGCCTATTTGGAATTGTCTTTCATTTTTATGTTTGTCTATTTGCTAATTCATGTGATTTTAGACTTGCTGTAATTGGTCTTTGATTAATTGTCTTAGTCGTTCTCTATCACCAAGCATGTTATTCACACTGTGCACCATAGAATATGTTTGCCAAGTCAGTGTGGGGTTGTAGCCATACAGGGCCTCGAAAAAGGTTAGTTTCAAGGTTGTGTGATAAGTGGTATATACCACCAATTAGCGTGAGACAACCATCTTGCCTAATACGTTGATTTAGGAAGCTAACCCCCTTAGGTATTATTTTAGGCACTAGTTTACATTTTCAATTTGGTAGTCCATTTGGATGGTAAGCTGTATATATAGCATGGTGTCCCCAACTGTTTCATCATTTCCTTCCAAAAAAAAAACGCTTGAATATCTTGTCTCTATCCGAAATAGCCATCTTCTATTGACCATGTAGTTTGCAGACATGATCTACATAAACTTTTGTCATATCCATCGCAGTATAGAGGTGAGAAAAAACAAAAAAATGAGTGTGCTTTGTAATTTTTTTGACTACCACCAAAATGCAGTTTTTTCGTAGAGAGTAGGTAAACCGTTAATAAAATCCATAGTAATACTCCAAGTTTGGTTAGGAACTTGTAATGGTAGTAGCAGGCCCAACTTAGCCACATGTTCAATTTTTATCCTTTGACAGACATCACACTATTGGACATACACAGCACCGTCTTTAGCCCGGCCAATAGAAATGTGTCTTAATCCTTTGGTATGTAGTTTGAATACCGAGTGACCTCCTTGTGGTGAACCATGCAAGGTTTGCAAGATTTCAGTCTAAAGCTTCATTTGGCACCAATATAAACTCTATTTGATAACGCAAAATTAAGCAAAATATTCTATTTGGTGCACTTGGAAATTGCACTGTCAACGTTTTAATCTATTCCATGGCGAGGGTGTCACACATAGTTGTTCTCAACCTCTTGGACCCAACTAGGAATAATTATAGTTACCCCATATACTGAATTCACCTTCTTTCAAATTTAGGATAGGGCATCTTCCATAATATTGTTTTTCCCTTTATGTATTGTATTAAGTAGTCCAACCTAAGCAGCTTCGTTAATCCTCGTTTAGGATAGTGGTAGTGAGTTTTGCTCAAAAAGGTGCTTTAATGGTTCATGGTAAGTTTTTATAACAAATGCCTTCTTTAAATAATCTCCACTTCGAAATGGCCATCAACATAGCAAGGTTCCTTCTCGTAAATCAAAAAATCAATATGTTTAGGACTTAAGGCTTTGTTGATGTATGTAATCGACCTCCCTTCTTATGATAAACTGCTCCTACACCTTAGAGATTGCATCAGTTTCTAAGTAAAATGTCTTAGAAAAATCAGGTAAAGCCAAGACTGGGGCAGAACACATTCTTGCTTTAAGCGTTTCAAATGAAGGTAAAGCCTCCGGACCAGCTGAAGTTGTTTTTCTTTAACATTTGAGTCAATGGACGACTATCTCTCCATAATTTTTGACAAACCGCTTGTAGTAACCGGCTAGACCAAAAAATCCTCTGAGTGATTTCAAACTCTTCGGTAATGGCCAAGTGCTTATGGCTTCCACCTTCATTGGATATGTTGCAACCCTACAACAGAGATAATGTGGCCAAGATATTCCACTTTTTGTTGGCTTAAGAGACATTTGATCTCTCGATAAAAAAATTGTGTTCATGTAGGGTTTGTAGGACAACCTTTAAATGTTGTATATATTCTTTCATTGTGGAGTTGTAGACTAAATGTCGTCAAAAAATACTAGACCAAACTTTCAGAGATAAATGTAGATGCTCGTTTTTTCCAGGGTTTTGTTTGAGCTTTACTTATATAAATATATGTATATACGTTTACATATAATAATAATTTTTATTTTATGTTTCTAGGTTTTATTACAAGGTCCAATGGGGGATTAAAGGCCAAAATAGTTACAAAGAAGGCAACATTATTCAACCTAAATAGAGACCCGATTTGGGAGCAAACCCGGACCAATGGATTGAGTATTGGATCCAGCAGGTGGAAATTACAATTGTTGTTCCAGATGCCAGCCGAGTCCCATAAGCCAGCTGTCTAACCATGCAACGGCTTGATGTACCTGCAACAACGGTAGAAAAAGGAGGTTCTCTCAGCATGTATGGTTACATGCAAGTTATCAAGAGTTAACCAAAACAATCGGGGGCCATTATCATCATCAAAGAAAAGGATAGGAAGGGGGAGTTTTGGGCCCTTTTTTTTAGCATTGGAGAAGCAGTTTTGGAGGGGTCGATTCTCATTTTCTGTATTGATAAAGAATGTAACAGGTTATTCTTCCTGATATGAAGAAAATACAGTGAATACAAAGAAGGTTTTTCCCCTTTCATTTTTCAGAGAAAAGCATATATATTTTTATCGATTTTTTTACTGAAGGCAATAACGAAATTTTTCATACCCATTCGAATACATAGAGCTATGAAAAGCCTTTCCCATTCATTTCCTCTCGAATCACAGAGTAAACAAACAACCCATTGAGCATTTTCCATTTAGACGCAAACAAACAATAACTCAAAGAAAAGCAAAAATCGAATAACAAAAAACGGAAAAAAGGAAAGAAAAAAAACGAAACTTAGAGGGAACCTTACCTCAGGGGAGTAATCAGTGGTCTTCTTCACCAAAACAGAAAAGCCTTCGGTCTTCAAAGGTAACATAAAAACCCCTCTTGCATCCTTTCGTTTTTTGTGTTTAAAAGGTTTTGTTAATGGGGTTGTATCTCGAAAATAGAAAATAGAATGAGGGATAGTGAGTTTACCTGTCGTCGGAGTCTTCGTCCGTGAAGACTTTTGGTAGTGTCGGTCGAATGAGAGTAGCGCCACTTTACGGTAGGTGTATGGTGGTCATGGGTTCTCGAGTGCTTCGATAGAAGAGAGGTAATATGGGAGAAGAAGAAATATGTGGCTTGGGTGTTTATGGGCTCTTCGGTCGTTGGGTTGACGGTCAGAGTGAGAAACACCACCAAGATGGTGGTTTGGTGGCAGCGCTAGGGCTATTGGAGCCTCAATCATGCGTGAGAGATTGAGCAGATGTTCTCAAGAGTTTTGGACTCCGTTGGTCGGAGTGATGATGGGCTATGGTTGGATGAAGGGTGGCCACTAAGGTGGTGGTAGAACGGCAGCGATGGAAGTTTTAGTGAGGTTTTGATCGAGCTTGGAATGAGAAGAGAGCTTAAGATAGGTATGGGGATGCGGCTGAGTTGTTTAGTGTAAAATTAAGGTAGGTTTAATATTTTAAGTAGTATATATACATTAAAACTTTAGGGTAAATTAATGTTTAGCCATCATAGTTTTAGGGTAATTTACTGTTATACCCCAAATTTTTTCTAATGACTAAAGTGTAAGTTTTGAAAGTTTAGTGGCTGAAGTATAAATTTTGAAAAGTTTAGGGACCAAAATTATAATTTTTAAAAGTTATATATATTTTTAGCCTGAACAGTTTGGACTAAAACAAAGATTTTAGTAGGAAATCAGATTTTGGTATGTGAATTGTATTAAATGCTATAAAGTAGTAAAGTTCGGTATTGAAATAGAATATTTGGATCAAATTGGAATTTTACGAAAATTTGAAGGATATTATAAAATGGAAGGAAATATTATTTTAATATTTAGATCAGAGAAATTTGGCTCAGAAATGTACAATTTTTCAGATTTGATCGGAACAGTGGAATTTAGTGACTAAAATGCAAGTTTTAAAAATTGCATGACAAATTTCGTAAGTCAAAGTCAAATTAATTCATATTTGACTGTGGAAGATGATAAGGTTTATATGGCTTGGTATTAATGTAAATATCAAGTTCATTATAGGTAAATTAAGAAAGATATTTTAATTTTAAAGGTAAATCGGTAATTTAGCATTTAATAAATTTTTAATTCATTAAATTATGAAGAATGATTGATGATATTTCTTCATCTTCATCATAATGGTAGTGGGTTCTTCCAAAAGTAAGAAAATATTTTGTTTTTCATTTTTGAGCAATTTTCTTAGGATTTTGAGTTATGTCGTAAAATAGAAAAATGTTCTACGTGAAATTCTCTATTATTTGATACCAAAATTTCATGGTGAAGATAAATGTGTGATGATATTTTATGTTTTGGGGTTATGAAGAGTTTAGTGATTTTAAAGAATTTGTTGTAAGAATTGATGAAGAACCTAAGGATGCAAATTAAGGAAAGCAGTTTAGATTTTTGAATCTGGCAGTGAGTTTGAAAATTCACTAGAAATTATATAAAACATTATTTGTAGGTTATTTTTATATATTGTGTTCTTATATCAATATAGTTTTGTTTAAAACAAACTGATATCAATTTCAATGTATATACAAAAAGATATGAATTTTTAACCGATGAAAGGTCAGAAAACGGGGCATCAGATTTTGCACAAAACTGATTCTGTCGGTCAAATTTGAAAATTTACCATAAATTGTAAAAAATGAACTAGAATGATTTCTTTATACGGATAGATTCGTATTCGAGTCTAGCTTTCATAGGAAGAAACGGAATTAAATTCCAGCGTGTATATAAATACAGAATACTGATTCTTTAAAGGTAGTGTTAGTTGTCTGAATATAGAAATTTTAGATTTTAAGTGGAAATGGATTAGAAGCAAATTGTATCAATATGAATTTATAATTTTGTACAGATTGTGATTGACTTTGGTTCAAAGCAAATTGAGTATAAAAAGGACTAAGTTGGAGCATAGTGAGGAAAAATCTTTTGAAATTTTTAAAGTGTCAAGGTGAGTGCAATACATGCATAAAATTATACATGGATGTTTTATACATCATCAGGAAGACTTGAGATGAGTATACATTGTTTATATCAGCATGATATTATGTTATTATTCATAATATCGACATTACCTTAATATGTCAAAGTGTGATTTCATAATGCATTGATCACTTGTGGAAACATATATGTGAATGTTATTTTGGGTATAAACTACCCAAATTGTGAATGTGATGGATACATTGTTATGGATGAATCAATAATATAATATAAGCCCAAGTGAATTATTGAGGGACATGGTATATTTGGTAGGGGTGTGCAAAAAAATTCGATCCGATCCGAAAAATTTAGATATCCGATCCATTTTTCAATTTTCGGATAGTTCGGATCGGGTATCCGAAATTTTTTTCGGATTTTCGGATCGGATACGGATCGATCAAAATCTAATTTCGGATTATCCGAAAACCCGAAAAAAAATTGGGCTATATTATTAGCCCAGAGTTGTTTGAGCTTGTTCTGCCATTTCCTTTTACTTCTCGCCCAACAATATCATTGCCGATTATTCTGCCTTCAACAACTGATTCATGGTTTGATTCATCTGTAAATGGAACGTCTGGGTTTTTATATTTTGAAGATAAGAGGCTAACTCTTACAACATAAAAAAATGTTCATATTTACTGTAGGAGACAGTGATGGTGTCTTCCCCAACATAATTCCCAAAACCAGCTGTTGGGGGCATTTATTATTATAGTTAAGCAACCTTTTACATATATAGAGAAGAAATAAATGTCCTTAATGATTACACTATAGACTTTTAAATTTCAAAGTTTTGAAATCAATCTGTGCTAACTCATTAATTTCTCTATCTTATGATGCTTTTATCATCAACTTTGTTCATCTGATTGTTTTGGTCTAATGTTCTTTTCCCCTGTCTAATTGTTGAATAGATGAGTAAAATTTTAGCATCGTTTATTAAGGAATAGTATTTTATTACTGGCATTGTCTGGTGAGAAAACTGGTCTTATACACCCCTCGACGTGAACTCCCTGATCAAGTGTCGCTTCCTTCATTTATGCATCAACTGTAGACTAAGATTTACAGCAAGTTTTTAAGACCGCAGTGTTAACTTCGTAATAGCCATACCATTTGGACGCGTAGGGTATTTTAGTATAAGATTGTGAATAACAATTGGATAATTTACGCGCTTAATATCTAAATTATCAGTTTAGTACTTAAAATTTTAATTTTATGTTGATTAATGCTTTATTATGTTGATTGTTTTGAATTTTTTGTAAAAAAAAAACCAGATTCGGATATCCGAATTTTTCGGATCGGATACGGATCATTACTTTCGGTATCCGAAAATTCGGATCGGATAATATCCGAATCCGATAATGAACACCCCTAATATTTGGCATGCCATAGAGTCCAACAGCAGGCTACATATTCGGGATTACACTAAACTATAATTAGTGTATATAGTGGGCATGATCTTATGTGTCATATTCAGGACTGTACTTAAGTATACCAAGTACAGATGGTGGACACGACCTTATGTGCCATACTCGTGTTAGCACTTCGGTGTTTATTTAAATTGACTCGTGTACCTTGGGTCCTCAAGGTCTACATATTGGGCTATGGTTTATTGAAAATATTTTATGATGCACCATTATCATGTTTACTATAGTAATTAAATGGTTATACAGGTAAGTGATCATGCTACATTGATTATGACGTATGGTTATATATTAATGATGTATTGCACGGTTTATTACTGTTGATTGCCTCACTAAGTATATACTTAGCGTGTGATGATTTTCACGCGTAGGTAAATGTCAGGCGTAGAAGTAAGGAGTACTGAGTAACATCAAGCATTGAGGAGTATAATAAAATATCAGTAAGACATCCTTTGATGTAATTTTTGACTTAGTTAGTGGCATGTACTTACAAATGTCCTAATTGTTATGTTAAATGTTTTTGAAAATTGTTGTAATGGCTAAACTAAATTGTTTTACTCTATTTCATCATGAATGATATTATTTAGTATTACTTTTATAAATGGACGTATCTGATATTTAAATATTATATAAAAAATTATGTGATTTATTATTGTATATTTTCTATTATAATTGGAAAAAATATAAATTTCAAGCCACTTTTGAATTGGGAAATGTTTTAAGTAAAGCATGTGACATCTATAACATGTATTGGTATAAGTATATGGGTCATAGGTATTACATTTGCTCTCATACCCCTAGACTTTAGCCGCATATTTACAGTTTAGTCACTGATGAAGACTGTTTTCGAATTCAGCCTTTTGTTTTTGTCCTGATTTTGTTATTTTCTAGATTTAGGTTTTAGTTAAAAATGTTGGGTTATTAGCTAAGGGTCATTAGAGTTTTTTGCTTTAATTCATTTTAGTCCACGATTTGATATTTTCATGTTTTTAATTTTGTCTTCATATTTCATGCAGTTTTCATTTTAATCCTTTGTTAGTTATTCTGATTTCAGTTTCTTTCATATTGAATATGTTTTTTGTTATTTTATTTAAATCCTTTGTATTTCCATGGTCATTGATTGGTATTTTTAAAAAAAAGTTATATGTTTGGAGATTGTTTTTTAAATTAGGTTTTGAGTCTTTCATTTTAATTTATATATTTTATTTCGTGGATGTAATCATTCCTTTGTTAATTTCTTTTAATTTAGTCTATATAGTGATTTTTTAATTAGTAGTATTTTCTTTATTTCACAGGTTAATATGGTTACATGTATGTAAGTATGAAAATGAGTAATTTACAAATTGCATGGCATTATTTAATTAATTTTTGCATGTTAACCTCATATGCATAACTTGACTTTCATTACATAATTGGATTAAAGGTAATACCCTTTTAATTTAAAATTATTTTGAGTGGATTGTCTTAACTTATTAGAGATCCGCTTTTGACGATTTTAAATTAAAAGTGTACCCATCAGTGTCACTTTAAAAAATTGATCAGTCATTTAAAATTTGGGAGTGAAAGAAAAAAAATGTTTGGTTATTTAAATTTTTCGAGAAAAGATTGTCAGAACTTATCTATGATCCGGTCTCGATATTTTTAAATAATCGAATATTCTTCATCTTTCTAAAAAGGTTTGGTAATTTTAATTTAATTTGATTTGGGTGTATTTGAATATTTTAATGAAACTGTAATATTTCTTTATTTCGATTAGAGTAAGAATTGATTATCTCGAGTTAAGAGCTATTTGTTTCTTCTCAATAGGAAAAAATTAAATATTATTATATTTCATTTTAAAACTCACTTTTTGTTGTTTATGGGATCAAAATCAAATTAAAGTCGAATTTGTAAATTTCGTTGCAAAGACATTAATTAATCGACTAGGTACCGATTTAGGGCATTATAGGGGTGTTAATCATTCACCGCACGTAATCGACTCCCGAACTCATTTTCTGGTCACACA